CAGGAGGAAAGTGGAAGAAAAAGTAAATTATCCAACTGGAACTCATTCTGTACCTGCCACGTGTTTAAAATGGGGCTTTATCTAGCTATTTCTTTTCATAAGCAATGAGTTCGTGGACAGAGCATTTTTCATCATATTTCCCCTACTTGGGAGTACATGACATGCACTGTCTCTATGGCTGAATAAAAGGTCATGACTGACCAGCTGGTAACACAGAATGCATTTTTACACTAATGGCAGGGTATTCTAGCTTTTGTTTCACATGACAATGACTGCATATTTACATAAACCCTACATCTGTTTAGTTAAATTAAGCCAGAGGGTGATGATCTTTGTCTTTACAGAAGAGATGATTTAATTTTATTGAACATAGCTTTCCATTTAAAAGATCAAAGTCAGTGCAGCCACCTGCAGCAACAATTCAGTCTTATGTGTTTCTTCAAATATTCAAATTACAAAAATAGGGGAAATGAGACTGAAAAAGCTAATGAATTTTAACAGACAACTAGCAATTATTCATTCATTTAAAAAAAAAAAAAAAAAAAAATAAAATAAAATTCAATTAAAATTACAATGAAAACTCTCCGGGGCCTTTGTTTATCCTGGGCTTGAAGAGAGACATTTTTCCTGCCATCAAAGTCACATGAAGTGTCCTGACTTCCCTGCCTCTGAAACTATCAGGAATTGATAGTGGAGGCAGCACGCCCTTTTTTAGGCAAATTTCTAGAAGCTGGTAATGCTATGGGGTAAAGACACAAAATACAGAACAGTGAAGAAAAAATGGTGAAGAACTGGCCTCTTTAACTATCTTTTGTTAATTCCAGGCACTCAGCACAGTGAACTCCTACTTATTAAAACATCAGTTTGTATATAAAGTCACTTGTTATCTCTATAGATAATAATGGTAAAAATCGTAACTGTGAAACTGTATCTGTAATGACGATAGATATTTCATGTCTTCCAAAAGAGCCTGCATGTCACCTCCTAGCATCTGACTTTGAGGAATTAGTCTTTGTCTTGCAAACTTTTATTTTTTGAGGGGAATGGCTGAACACAAGCCTTACATTCCACTGCTGAAGTTAGATATTTGCTTACGAGTGGTTTCCTCTCCTCTCAAGCTGATAGCAGCACTTACTATTCCCAAAACCGGTTGAGCACCATGGCTACACCTCATGCCATGGCAGAATGGGGCCAAGTACACACCGAAATCCCCTCTTCCCTGCTCCCATCCTGTGGTTCCCCCCTTCAGAAACCTGGGAACATGGACCAAAAGGAGCTATAGCATGTTCCAGGTGAGCCCTCAATCAGGACAGGGCGAACTGGACCCAAAGTCTGGTTTGGATCCAAGGAATCCTTTCCAAGAGATACAAGTTGCTTCTACGTTGCACCTCTGTAATACATGCAATTTAGCATTTCAGCTTGGATCAGGAAAGCACTTCTGAAGCGTTCCTCCTGAGCGCCCCTCCTCACCATGCTTTGCTTCACGGCCTGGAACAGTCCTGGCACCTCTGCACTGGACTCCACCCATCCAAAGCTAAACCAAAAGAACTGGTGTGGGAGCACACTTACTGCACTGCGGCCACTAACACGAGACCAGTCAATGTGACCAGGTTAGAGCTGGTCTGAAATAAATCTCTGAAATACATGGAGGGCACACACTGAGTCCTCTGTGCCAGCTCCTCTGTGCTACAGATCTGCCCTACTTGTTCCAGGCCACCTGCTAATATAGGCACAGCCCAAGGAGGCTGCACTGCTGCTTTCTAACCCTCTCACTGCTTAAATGGGTGAATAGTGTCATTTTAGGCACCATATGGTATCCCTGCAGGCCTCCAGCTGCCACTCTGCAGATCAACAGCTCAACCAAATGTCTCATGTCATATCTGGCAGCCCCACACAGACATCTCAGATACCTTCGGGAGACTAGCTTGCTGGGGATGTCTATGTTTAGGAAACTAAATACCATTTTATTTAAGTATCTATTCCCCTCTAGACCAAAAAAAATAAAGCAAATGAGATTTAAAATGAGAAAAAAGGTGCTTGAATTACCATAGTGAGTTCTATAAAATAAAATAACATTTCTTGTAAAATTCTCTCACTTAAAACTCTTGGAGACTTTTTTTAAACTAAAAAGTACACAATGCTCAATTTGGTCCAATAAAAGTACTGCTTTGTACTTTAAGAAACACTTGAACTTTACAAAGAGCATTTATTGTTCAGTAAGGGCTGGATTCACTGACTTTAACAGAAATATTGAGAAGATTGAAATTAAGTTTCTGTGTGTGTGCTTTACTGCTCTAACACTCCAGATGCTCTGAGGACTATAGTGTCAGGATCTTTGCAGGATCACGTCCTAAAGCTAAGTCTGTACTAGTAAGTCAGTAAAATATAAAATTACTACTTTTGCTGGGGTTGTAATAAAAGAAACAGGCTTTGGCACGTATTCTGCCCTGAGGATGACCGACAGAGAGAAGCCTTCATCTGTGCTACCAGCCGCCTGGCCTCCAGAACAGGCTGGCTGGGGGTAGGCAGGGATGGATGCTCTGGGGGGTGACCACACTTGGGACGGCGGGGCAGAGGCTGGTGGCCACTGGCCAGTGCTGGGTCATGGGCTGATCTCCCAGCCTCACACAACGATGGGCCCCAAAGCTGCAGAAAAACGGTTTTATCTACCAGGAAGCAGCCCAAGTTTCTAAATCTGCATGGAATGTTTGAAGCTTCAGGTCTTTTAAGCACTGAAACCAAAACCCTGACCTCTTGTGGCCGTGAAACTGCCAGCAAAACAGCTTCTAGCACGTGAAGCAGGTGATGCTCTTGCTGAGTACACAAGGGCCAGCATTCAGGGATTCCTGCTGCTCCTCTCCCAGACCTGCCTGCATTTCAGCAGCCAGTGACAAACCTCTACATTTGTTATAAATGTAAATTAAAGCAGTAGTGCAGTCTTTTTAGACACTGTGGACAAAAATGTGGTAGAAATTCCACAGAAATGGGAAGTATGGGAGTGATTATGCACATTAACATTCCCCATGTGGCACACAACCTGTTGCAGACCTTTAATTGTAACAAAGACATGAGAAAGGGAACATTGGTTTGGTCTACTTTGCTTTTCTGCTCTGATAGTCTGCCTAAGTAGCTTTGGGTTAAAGAAAACCCCAAATGAATATATATGAATATATACTGCACGTATGTAATTAATAGTGTCTGATGCTACTCGTTGCATATATATTATCAGCACTCTTTTAAATACAAACCTACTCTTTTAAGAACTCAGCATCAAAAAACAGGGAGTCTTCCTTCATGTGCAAGTTTGAATAAGGAGAAAATGCATTTAGTTGCTTTTCTGAGGTCAACTGATTTCATACCTAGAAAGGCTAAGGCTACACATTTTTTTGGCATGCACACTATTTGTACCCTATTTGTCCACATGCAGTGATGCTCTGCATATGTGAATTTCCTATATAGACTGAATACCTGAATGCTTCATCATTTCTAAAGTGGAGCACCTACAACTATGTATTTTTTGTCTGTGAGTATGGCAAATCCCAAGGCTACTGTTATATAAATAATGCACCAAATACAACAGCGTATATTACTAGTATGTATAAATGTATTGTATTAATAGCATATATTCACAAACATTAAACAGTGCATGAATAAAATGTATTTGTTAAAGTTTTTTATTTCTATCACATTGAGTATAGAGATTGGATATAAAAACTGAGTACTAAAGGACAGAATCATTGATAATTGCACTTGATTAACACAGGACATGAGTAAAAACAGTCTTTTAAATCAAATTTGTAATATAGTTATGTTCTTTCTGGATCTGCAGTTCATTTCTGACCCTAAAAAGGCCTATCCATATGTTCAGTTTTACATTTAGGAGTAACAGTAGTGAAACTAACATACATGAAAATAAGCCTTTGCAGAGGTGAAGACTTGATGGTAGCCTGCTTTCACATTCAACATGTGCAGAAACCCACACAGGAAAAGGTGAAGTGAAAAGGTACAATCATTCCCACTGCTCAGATTCTCTGCGGTTTTTCATTTCACATTCATTAACAAATATTAATAGAATAGAGGAAATGTTCTGTAGAAAAATATTTTAGCAATTGCTTATAAAATGTTTTAAACTTCAGGTTATTCTCAGGTATCTGTTTCTAATATGCCAACATTTTTCTCTTTCCCTCCAAAATGATGTCCCAATCTGATATCGGGGAGGGTTCTTAAATGATCCCAAGAGCAAGATTAAGACAAAACCAAGGTCAGATGCCGTACAACCTTGTGAACTTTATTAAACAAGCGACTGATAGCAGCGATAGGACAGGGAGAAAAAGGAAGGGAAAGTCAGAATCCCTAAGCTAGAAAACAATAGAGATGCAGCAACACTAAGTACCACCACCACGAATCCAGCGATGTTCTGCTGGCTTGGTCTCGGTGCCGGTGATGGTGTTCCAAGCTCCAAGCTCCGCCGAAGTCCCCGCTCCGAGGAGACCCGAGCCCCCTTTGACGCAGTCCTTCTCAGTCCTCACGATTTCTCGGAAAAGTCTGCCCATTTCCACGGAGCTCATTGTCGCCCCGTGGTCTTCCATGCGCGCGTGCCCAGGTGTTCACAATGGTCTTGCGGGCGAGGGTGCACATCTTCCTCGCCTCCTCCACGTGGCTCGCGCGCAGGTGCAGCTCGGCAGGCACTGCCAGGGATGTTGTTGTTTTAGCTTTGGGCGGACGTTGTGGTTTCGTTGGGAACTATTCGTCGCCTTCCCTTCGTGGCAACAGGATGCTGAGGCCAGAAGGTGGAAGTGGTGCAGCAGAAATGTTGAGACAGAGTCCAACACAGTCCCTTACAAACAAACTGATATTTCAGTTGCCTGTGTTGACAGGCTTGGACTTTATTACTTAGAAACCTAGATTCTTACTGGCCCTCACAACACATTTTCTAGGATGCCCGTCACAGCAGTAGCTGCTCATCCTCTATTCCAGTAAACAACATCAGGCCACTGGACTGTCTGTTCCTAAATGTCATGATCATTTTATTGTTTTACTGCTGGATGACATTTCAGCCTCTCCTTGGGCACCTAATGCTCCTGCTGCAGTCCAGTGAATTCTGGAACACAACAGATGCAGGAGCAGGTTCTCCTGGTGATGAAGATGAAACATGATAGCATCTTGAAATGTCACAGTGTTATAGAGCACTCTGAGATACTTCATACATGACTGTAGTATTTTTGTGGCTTTACTAAGAATGCTGAATAATAAGTGAGTAGTATTTTGCCTTATACAGAAAAGTACAGTAGGCAATGGTGAAACAGATAATCTGCACAGATTACTGTCAACAGAAGAAAGAGAAGATTCGTCTTCAGGATGAAATGCATCACAGTACATTTTCAGGTACCAAAACCAAGGGACAATAAAAAGCACCTTTAAAGTGCACTAAAAAGTATCTTTTAAGTGCTATTACAAAGAAGTTGCTTTCACAAAGCACAGTGTTTCTTAATTAGTTGTAGCACTGTCTTGAGAACTTCTTCCTTGGGGGGGCTGGCATCAACCTCTTGGCATGCAGGATTCACCATCCTTCTGTATGATTCTTCAACTCTAAAAACAAAACAAGAGAAATGAAACTTCAAATTACAGGGATATGAAATGGCATTAGTCATCAGTCTTGGAAGAAAGTATTCGCACTGCAGAGACAAAGGAAAAAAAATCTAATATGAAGCTAACAATTAAATCTACTGCAAAGAGCAATAAACCAATAGTAACTATTACAATGCAAACCTCAAACTGATTCCCAGAGCTCTATCCAAATTCCCATGGCATGGCATTAAAGTATTTCTTTCTTTACAGCTTTGCACTGGATGCAGTCTGGTACAGCAGTATAGTAGACAGCCTGCTTCTAACACCTGAATTAATTTATTCAGAGCCTGCTAAGGTGTCTCTGAACTATATGGTATGGCATTGTGTAGGTGTGCTCACAGACTGTTCTCAGATTTGAGTCACTGGATTATGGAGCTGACACGTTGTTCAATGCTTTCCTCTGACCACCTTTGCTAACCAGATGAATACCAGGATGAAATGCAGGATGAAAATCTCCTCGCTCAGCCTATAAGCCTTCTTATAATGCAGAACTCTCCCACATTTAGCCTACGAGGATGTGAATATTATTTTCTATGTTCCCACAATTAATAATGCCAAACATTCAGGATGCAAGTCATAAGGCGAATCAAGCAAGATTCTGGATGTTCTCACATCCAGGTTGACAAAATTAACAAGTAGAAATAACCAAAGGCTTTCTGACAGGAATAAGAAGCAACAGAATTAGAACACAAAAAATTCTCAAATGGCAGCATGTTCCCTAGCACACCCATCTCTCTACACGTTCCACTATATGAATTGTGTGTCTGCACAGAGTTTCTGTCAGAATTAAGCAATGGATATTTTTAAGGTATATCATCACCAGCAATGGTAAAATGCTAGACATAGATTGCAGCTTTGCAATTTGTAGATACAGACACCAACATTCAGGTGTCTATACTGAGGTATCTACACAAGCATTTTAAGTTTACACAAGGTATTTAAGTTTCCACTGTAGACAATGATGATCAAATCAATACATTTGGCAGAGCCTAGACAGCAATTCAGCACACCCTGAAGTCAGATACCTAGGGTGCAATTCAGTTGCTTCAGCAAATGTATCCAATACTGCTTGAGATGCTCCAGACTATCTCATTTAGCTTCCAGCTGCCAGTCCAGAAAGTATCCACGGGTTCTGCATCACATCTGCCAGCTTTATGTAGATGTCTCAGATTGTATCAAATGGCTCCAGGAACTTATGCTTAGATAGCTGGGCTCCAAGTGGGTGGTGAGCTGAATCACTTTGTAGGCACTATTGAATGTATTGACTATACTGGGACCTGAGACACTTAGCACAAATAAAGACATGTACAAGAGGAGATCTAAATTTTATTCTCTTAATCTGGAGCTCAATTATGGATTTTTCTGCAGAAGCCATGTGTTTCAACTTCTTGCCTCCCAGTTCTGGAATTTTTAGGTCTCTCTCCTTCATAACCTCAATAAGAAAGGTGCTACAATAAAAGCAGCAAGTAGCAAAATGCAAGTACTTTAACTCAAAGCTCCTCTGCAGGAGAGATCTTCACCTGTAGCTCTCAAACACTCTCTGTCTGAAGTTTTCACTCCTTGTCAGTCATTAATCCCTTCCAAAAAAAAAAAAAAAAAAAAAAAAACAAAAAAACAAAACAAAAACAACAAAACAAAACAACCCAAAATCTTAGACATAGGAAATCCTTGTCCCAGTAATGTGAGTGGGACATTTGTTACTGATCCCACAGGACAAGTTGCTTCCATCCTCTTATTCCTCATTAAAGTGCAAATTAAAGTTTCACCTTTGGCGAAACAGGCTGTTAGCTTCCAGCTCAGCTTCCTCCTTTGTTTTCTCCAGTCCCCGACACTGAAGTCTCCGCACTCGCTCCTCAGGGTCAACAGTCAGGAGAAGAACAAGATCGGGTTTAAGCAGATCCTCAGGCCACTGGTACACCTCATCGTTAGCTGGTGGAAGATCTTGGACTTGCTCATTTATTTCAGTGGCAATTGTGTAGGCAGCTGTGCTGTGCCAGTATCTGTCGGGGAAATGCCAAATGGAGAGAGAAATTTTAAAAAGGACACTAATTCTTTGGTAATACAGGAGACAGATGTCATGGTAACAACATGTGCAATAATGACAAATTAGGTGTCATTGTGATTTTTAAGGGAAAAGTAAAGAACAGTTCTGTGCCATCTATTATTTCTTAGAAGAGTGACAATACTCAGCGCAACTCAACTCAGAATTACTGTGAATTATTAATTAAAATATATGGCAGAAACTACGTATTATGCAAACTGTGTTCTAGATACTCCTATCAAAAAAAAAAAAAATGGGAGAGGTCAAAAGAAGAGCTACATTATATGTCAAAATCTAATACTGAGTCCCTTTTTTGTGGTTCCCATTCTACTTCATGCAACAGATTTGGTTAGAGAACATACAGTCTTCAACCACATGTGAATGAAAATAGACTTTATTAAGTTATGCGTTTCACTTGTATTTAATGTTCCCACCACTATGACTCACTATGTTTTATACATTTCAGTGGTTCTGAGGATGGTTTAAAATAGCACTCACACACATGCAAACAACTTCCGTGTATGTGTGTTGTGGGGGGAGGTTACAGTACATCTACTGCAACAAGCCAGGGGGTTCCAAGTAGTGCATCAAGACTTTTTTTATTAAGAGTAATACTGCAAGCTGCCTATACAGCAAGTGAAAATAAGAAATTACATGAACAAAACCAAAAAAGTGGCAAACATATTTCTGGCTTTACATCCTCAAAAAGTAAGTCTACCTAAAAATCGGTCATTCTAATCCACCTGTATCTCAGACACATCTTAGAGAGAGCGATGACCAGCAGTCCTCATTCTATTCATGTTTGTCACAGAGCCCTGATTTGGCTCAGGCTTCACAGTCCATGTTTCCACTATTCGTAACTGCAGATGTAATACTTTTCAGATGTCCTAAAGGCAGTTATGAGTATTAAACTGATGGAAGTCACCCATCTTACCGTTATCATAAGAATTACTCTTTAGAAGATATAATAATTATCTGACTAATGTCCTGGGATTGAGTGAGTGATGGGGATTTTTGGTAGCAGGGAAGGGGGCTATAAGGGTGGCCCCCTGTGAGAAGCTCCCCCAGCTCCACCTCTGCACCAAAACTGAGCCAGTCAGATGCACCTCTGCAATAATGTGTTTAAGAAGGTATGTGGTGAGGAGTCGGACTTGTGAGGAGGAGTTGCGGCAGCTGAGTGAACACCAAGGTCAGTGGAGGAACAGAGGAAGAAAGGAGGGGGGAGGTGTGCCAGAGCAGACACTCCCCTGTATCCTGTGGTGAGACAGCAGGGCGGCCCCCCCTGCCACCCATGAAGATCTACGGTGGAGCAGACACTGATTTATGGCCTGTGTTTGGCATGAGTGCTCAAGGTGACTGTGCTCGAAGAAGGCCGGGGTCTCATGGGAAAAGGTAGCCCCGCTGCTGTAATTCAGCTCTGGGAGGATTGCAGCATGCGGGGGTGTCCCATGCCAGAGCAGCTTGGGAAGGGCTGCAGCCCGTGGGAGGGACTCCAGTCAGAGGAAGTTGGTGTCCCATGCCAGAGCAGTGTAAGGAAATTCTGCAGCCCATGGGAGAGACTCATGTCAGAGAAAGTTTGTGGAGCACTGTCTCCTGTGAGAGGGGGACCACGAAGGAGCAGGGGGAAGAAGTTCCAGAAGCTCCCCCCACCAAGGATGGAAGAAAAGGCAGCACTGACTGCAGCCCCCATTCCCTGCCCCTGCGCCACCGGGGGGAGGAGGTAGAGATATTGGGAGCAGAGCTGAGCCCGGGAAGAAGGGAGGTATGGGGGGAAGGGAAGGTGTTCTCAAGATGTGGCAATGCTTCTCACTGTCCTACTCTGTTAAGTGTTGCTATTAGTGTCTGTAATGAATCTATGTTCTTTTTTTTCTTCCCCTAACAAGTCTGCCTTTTGCCCATGACCATAACGGGTGATCTGCCCCTCCCGGTCCTATCTCGAATCCCAAGCCTGGCTCATTTGTCTCTTTTCATCTCTGGAAGAGAAGGGAGGAGTGAGCGGCTGCGTGGTGTTTGGCTGCCGACCAGGCTCAAACCATGATACTATCTTCAAAGTAGCACTTCCAAAAAAGAAAAAAGAAACCCAGATACTATCACTGACAACTTTGCTTGTAATGCTGGACAAAGTGTATGATGGCACTGATATAAGATACTTCTTAAATATACAAACCTGTCTATGATCACAGGTGCCTGAGTGGACGCTTTTGCTATTTCTGAAGCAAGAATGTAGTTGCCCGCAGCATAAAATGCTCTTTTAATGGGTGCTCTCTCATCATCAAATATTGTCCTCCACTGGCTGATGCAAGCTGGTGGGGACCGCAGGAGAATGCCACTGAGGGTGTCCTTAACAGACTGGGTTACAGTGGTTTTGCCTGCATTTCATTTAGAGAAGGAAACATTTGTTATATTGCATATCAGATACAACTGAGTTTTAAAAACTGAAAAATGCTCCTATCTGTTTACTTGGAGCACACATTCTGACACCTGACTATGTAACCTGAGTATCTTGTGATAAGGTTTTCAGTGAGACATGATTACGTGTCTGGTTGCAGGAATTATTACTCCATTCCTACTGTTAAGGCCTTCCACCCCTCCCTCTTGACAGCTTTGGGCCTTCACTCCCTTAAATGCATTAAATGTATGGCAATTTCTTTATATATCCATTTATAATATTTTTCTAGGTCACAATTCATGTGGATGTTGCCATGCTGTCACCCAGTATTTTCTTTTTAGAGGGGATTTTCAGTTCTCTAACTGAAAAGTCAGAAAACAAAGTAATTCAGAGGCAACTAATATTTCTCTCTGAGACAAACAGCTGCCAGTTTCCCATACTACCACTACTTCAGTTCATTTGTTTGAAAACTGTCCGGTAAAAATATGTTTCATCATCTGCATAAAAAAATTAATTTCCAGTACTCTGCTCTTTGTATTCTTTCAACTACATAGATAAAGAATTCATCCACTGAATGAAAATTAGCATAGACTGTGTGATCTTTTGCAAGGAAGAGAAGATGGACTGGTATTTATAATTACTAGTTCTTTCAAATCTGTCACAGGTTTCCAGGATTTTTTTAATTTTTAAGCCTCATGTCTGGCTGAAAGCTCTTTCCAACAATTTCTCATCTGCTGTTCTTCAACCATATATTGCTCTTACCTGTGGCATCCAGCCCCTCAAAAACTATGACGGGAAAACCTCCCTTCTTCTGATGCTCAGGACATTTCTCCAGCAAGTCGAGTAGGGCTCCAGCCTCTGGGATTCGCGCTGCGCACTGCGGGGAGGGGTGGTGGGACCCTTCACACCCACCCCCCGCCGGGGCTGCCTCCCCGCCGCCCGGTGAAGCTGGAGGAGCTGAACGAGGCCCCCGCACCCTCCACATCCCCCTCTCAACCCCGTGGTCCCCTCATCCCCACACCCCCCCACAGCCCGCTCAGCACCTGCACCCTCTTACGTCCCTCACCTCCTGCACCCCCCATGCCCCCCGCACCCCTCTCGCACCCCTGCACCCCCCACACTTACCACATCCCCCCCACCCCCTCACTCCCACCCCCCCCCCCACAACCCCATGGTCCCCTCACCCCTGCACCCCCTCACCTCCGTACCCCCACTCAACCCCCACACCCCCGAGCTCCCCGCACCCTGGCAGCCCCCGCAAGCCCACACCCCCCGTACCCCTGCACCTCCCACACCTCCCACATCCCCCCAAACGCCTTCACCCCTACAACCCCCGCAACCCCACGGTCCCCTCACCCCCACACCCCCTCCCCTCCCGCACCCCCCGTACCGCCCGCAACCCCTCACCTCCCGTACCCCACTCGCTTCCCGTACCCCCTGCACCCCCACACCCCGGCAGCCCCCGCAACCCCTCACCTCCCGTACCCCACTCACTTCCCGTACCCCCTGCACCCCCACACCCCGGCAGCCCCCGCAACCCCTCACCTCCCGTACCCCACTCACTTCCCGTACCCCCTGCACCCCCACAAGCCCTCACCTCTCCCACCACCCGCAGCCCCCGCACACCTGAACCCCCCGCACCCCCCACATCTCCCGCACTCCTTCACGCTCACACCCCCCCGCAACCTCGCGGTCCCCTCACCTCCCGCACCCCCCGCACCCCCGCACCCCCGCACCCCCTCACCCCTCGCAACCTCGCGGTCCCCTCACCTCCCGCACCCCCGCACCCCTCCCGCACCCCCGCACCCCCCGCACCCCCGACCGGCGCTCACCTCCCGCAGGCGGAGGCGGACGGCGGGGGCGGCGGGCGGCAGGGCGCTGCGCACGGGGGGGGGCCCGGGCGGGGGGCCCGGCGGCCCCGGGGCGCAGCGCCGCATCATCGCCGCCCGGAGCCGGGGCGGGCGGCAGCGCGGAGGGGGGCAGGAGGCGGCGGAGCCAGCGGGAAACGAAACTAGCCCCCGAAAGGGCCGGGAAAGGGGCTGTCCGCGGGGAACATGGGCAGCTCCCGGGGGGGGGGGCGGCGTTTGCGCCTCCCGCCCCTCGCCCCCGGTTTAGTGGCACGGGAGCGAACTGGATTAGTCTCCGCGGGAAATGGATCCCTGCGTGGATGGGCTGGAAATGAAAGTGAAAGAAGGTCTTAGCTTCGGGATCCGCTCTGCCCGCCCCCGCCCGCGCAAAAAAAAAGGGGTCACATTCCCACGGACGCCCGTAGCACGAATACGCTGTCTGCTGCTTTGGACTATCCCGAAGAGATAAGCAAGTCATGAACCCAGTTGAACTGGTTTGCTGTGTTGCAGTGCCCAAGTGGCACCGAGCTATCCAGGGCATGTCGACAACATGACTCCGTTATTCTGTTACTCAGTGCCTTGATAACAAGACCAACGGACTCAAATCATTTGGGAAGTAAAACGGACTTTTACAAGCCTGCAGTGTTTTCATAACTTTGTGATGGCCAATTTCAGCTTTCATCAGCTCAGGGGCAGAATGCAGAGGCACTGCAATTAACTATAACACTCACTTAGTTTCATGTCAGCTGCTATGAGTAATGCTGCCCAAAATGTGGATTTTGAGATTTCAAAATATGTAACTTGAAATGTAGGAGAACCTGCACCTCTGCAGAATCCTATTTCTCCCTTTCGATAGTTGGGAAAACTGCCACTTAGAGATACCGAAAGTTAAGTGTCTTGATGCATCTTCTGAAAAGGTATACTCTACAAATGAGTACACTCCCCAAGAAATTCCTCAGAAACTTGATGTCAGAAACTCTTGTCAGCTGCACAAATATCTTCTGCTCAGCATATCTGCAGGGAGGAGAGCAGCTGGCAGGTAGTTCCAGTTAGCTAGAGATCAGCTATACTGGTTGGAAGGTGCCCATGCTGAAGAGGCTGGTGGAAGGCTGGGCCAGAGCAGGAACTGAGAACACAGCCTTGGAGGCAACACGGCCTCAGCAGCAAGTACCAGCTTTTTCAGGCTGAACGCACCCTTTTTCATACCTAAGAACTTCTGCATCGTTCCACATCAAACACATGGCTATGGCAGCTGGGTATGGATGCCAGAAGACACAGAGTAAAACATGGTTCATTATACAAGAAGCCAATAGATGGTAATTTTAAGAACATAATAATATGCACTACTGAGTCAGACTAGTGACTTTTCTCATCCAATATTTTGCCTGGCAGAATGACATGCCGTGAATAAGCCTGGCTTATCCATGATCCCTTCTCCTGGTTCTTGTGCTCCTCCAGCATCAACAGACACCAAATTAGGAATGTTAGATAGCATATCTTCATCTCTTCCTTTTAGCACTTATTTATGGACCCTTACTCATACATCTATCTAAATCCCTTTTTGACCTCACAGCCTACCTGCACAAACCCCTGTGGTCTCAAATTCCAGTAACACACCTGTTGCAGAAAAATCAATTATCTTCTATAAGTTTTAAACTCGTATCCTATTTTTTTCAACAAGTGCCTCTTCTAATAATGTTACTGACTTTGGTGAGTAAGTTCGACATTCAGTTTATTTATCACCCTCATGATTTTGTAAAGCTCACTCAGATTTCCCTCAGCTTTTTCATGTGAGAAATGACAGACTGAATCTCTTGTAAGGCAGCTGCTTCCATCCCCTTGATTGTTTAGATACAGGAATAACTTCTTTAACTCTGTGAGGTCCTGCTGACACATGGAGACCTGAACTGTACCACAAGTCAAGGTATGGCTACATGTACCAAGGTTTCACAGAGCAGTAAAATAATGCCATCTGCCTTATTCTCAATTCCTTTCTGAATGACACTAAGCTTTTAGTTGACTTTTTTTTTGCTGCTACCACCCACAAAGCCAATGATTTCAGAGCTGTAGCAACAGTGACTCCAAGATCTCTTTCCTGAGATGAAAGTGCCACCAGTGAGCTCATCATTAGGTATACAAGGTTTTGTTTATTTTTTCTTATGTTCATCACCTTACCTTTATCTACACTGAAGCTTATCTGCCACTTTTCTATTTACTCTTTTTTTTTTTTTTTTTTTTTAATGTCCAATGGACTTGCAGCTAAGTTTCGTTTCAAAAGTGTTTGAAAAGCTGTCTGTGTTCCTCACTGACCTATTTGACTCCTTGGTCTTCTGTTTTCCTGTTTTCCTGATGCCACTGTTGCCTTTTCCCTCCCTGCTGGCTAAATGGGAAGAGTGTACTTTCATTTTTGCCTTTCCCCTCCCATGGCCTTAATACCATCCTGTTTACAAGCATTCCTGAGCCAAGTTGGTGGTGCTTCTTTCTTCATTTATAATACGCTTATGAGATAATTTATAAGAGTCATGTGATGTCTGCCCTCCCAGCTAATTACTTAAAATGCATCTTTTTGCAAGATTTTAGGTCTTTTCCATCAGATTATACACAAACAGTTCAGGTAAAAATATAGGAAAAGAGAGTTGCCTTTTATGTCCAAGACATGTCTTTGTATGTAAAAACAATGTGACTCTGTTCTGAATTTATTTTATGGTAAGTATTTTTCAGTTTCTTCACAAGGACCTTTATCATTTTGTTTTCTGTATAATATGAAATTATGTTGAAGATCAAATGTACTAATTATGTGAAAAACACTGTTCTGGAGCCTCTTCACATCTTTGACGGCCCACTGTATTTGCATGTAGCTACAGGGAAGAGATACAGACATGATACGAAGCCATACGATGATTCAAAAATGTTTTGATACACCTGACGTGGAAAAATAGGGGAAAAAAAGTGAAAATAAATCAGTCTGTAACTTTAAAAATTTTCCAAGTGCACAGTCCTGTAATGTAGATAAACAGCTGTCTGAGACATAAGGCAGGAATTACATAAGTGGAAGGCCCATAAAATACATAGGTACGTAAAATGCACATAAATAAAATATAGGTGTTTTCATACAGAATAGACTCTAAAGGACACCAGCAAAGGGCCCTCCAGTAAAGATAAAGTTCTGAAGACAAGATCATAAGAACGCAGAAGTTAGTATAGTGTCAGGCCAAGAGACCCTCCTCTTCTGCCCATGACTGGCCAGTGCCAGATGTTTGGTGAAGAATATGGAGAGGACACAGAAGGGTCCTTCTCCCAATATCTTGTCCCAGATTCCAGAATTCATCTGTTCAAATACTTCCTGAGCTGCAGATCACATGAACACCATTAAAGGCCCATGGTAGACCTCTTTCAAATGTGCCTAGTCTGTGGCTATATTTATATTGTGTGTTTTGTATGTGTTTCATACTCAATGGCATGCGGTTTTAACTTTCTATTTGGCAATTTCAGTGGCACCCCTTGGATTCTTGCATGCCGAGGAGGGATGAGTCACTGCAAGTACAAGGTCCTTGACAGAATCCCATTTATGGTGCTGCAGATGTAATGGGGAAGAGATAATTTCCAGCTGGGAGTGGAGCAAGAAGTAATAAATTTATCACATGCTAAAAACTATATCTGCCATTGTGTGACCTGCCTGGCTGTCCTTGGACCATTTCTGGTCCTCACAGGTGACATGATATCGGCTTCTCTTTTCACATTATTTATGTTACTGGTACATGTCAGTAATCTTGCTGGCAAGGTACTGTTTGACTGGAATTGCCAACTAGCCACACTGGAGAAAGCAATCTCTTTCTTTAAATAAATTAAAATCCGTTATTTAGATAAATAATATAACACTGTTTTAAAGTTTTACTTTCATAGCAACTAGGGAGCACAACAGCATTATCCATGTTTATTCAGCTGGATTTTTCCATGCTAGTTATGTACCTATGTACCATCCAGTGCACCATTAATAACATTTTTCGATAATTTTTGAAAAGCTATATTTATCTTTAAAAGGGTTTTTGGTGCAGATTTGCAGAACTGAAACATTTTGAGCACTGGGACTCCATTTTGCTACTGTAAAATGACTTCTATAGGAAAGAAAGGGAAGGAATCAAACTTCCTACTGCTTTCAGAGAATATCATGCTTTTCTGAGAATCTTCTAGAAGGCTCCAGGACAGAAAATTTCATTACAGTTCTTGTTTGAAACATTTCTTGTAGATTCAAAGCTAGTGTATAAAAATGCACATTTGTGTTTTCTTGTAGGTCTTACCATAGAGCCTGTGAGTTAGAATGGTTTAGAAAGTAAAATGTGAACGTCTTCCTTGTAACTGCTAGGACTTGTACTTCTGTAGGGGGCATGTCCCAGTCTGGGTTTACTTTGTGGGGCCTTACAGTAATGCAGAGAGTGTCATCTGAAAACATACTTAGTTGAGGCAAAAAATGGAGAGATCTTTTATAAATGCCATTTTCTAAGAAAGCATAGATAAAATTACAGATAAAAAAAAAAGTCCTGAGTAAGCTTAAGCGTTAGGTTCTCTGCATGTTTTGTTCCTTGTAGCAGAGATCTTTCTTTTCAAAGAAAAAACATTTAAAAATTGTAATGTTTTGGTTTACTGATTCATTGACCTGCACTCTCCTGCCATGCTCTTGGAGTGTTCTTGTATCAGATGTAAGTCTTGTCTTGAGAGAAATTGGTAATCATCAAGGATTTTTTACTGATCTTGGAAATTAAGTGTTTTGAACCTAATTTTCCTATCCAGGAACTCAGGGCTGAGGCTACAACAGGTCGAGGTCACTGTGCCAGTCTCAGTGGATCTTCTGCAATTCCCAAACTTTTAGAAGGTCAGAGAAGTTTCTGAGACAAGGTGAACTAAATGGTAATTTGTCACCTGCAATAAGATTTCTATGCAAAACTATATACAGAGATTTTGAGCTTGGTGGCATGCATACATACACACATATATATATGTATACGTGTATTTATATGTATGAATATATATATATACACACACACCTATATACTTAGACACTACACAGAATATTTCTTGAGATGAACAATTTGAAGTGTTGCGATTGTCTTTAAGATCTCGTGCTTACCACAAGTATTCTTAGTAAAAGTTTTCCACCTCAAAGGAGGGAGAAAGGCTGTACTCCCTATATCTACATTGGCTCAATTTGACATGAACAAAAGATAGGGGTAGGGTGAGAAAGGAATTTGAACTGGGGTCAGAGAATATACGAAATGGGATAGAGCTCCTATCATGAAGCAGAAGGGATGTATAGAGCGAGGAAGAAACAGAGCATACCAGACTTCTCCAAATTAATTGGAAGATTGAAACAACCAAGGAGCAACTTTAATGTCCGGTTTCAGTCTAAACTTGCATTGCCTTGTCTTCCTCCTTTTGCAATTCAATTTTCAGATTTGTGATCAACAAACCCTTTACTTCACTAGAAAATCCTGCTTTCATCCCTAAGCTTGTGTCTTATATAAACCTGAAGGAACTGGAAGGGCACATGTATAATTCCTCCCATGGTAGCTCACAGAAATAACCTCTGCTGACAAGCTCTGATTTTGGAAAGCCTCAGGAATAGCAAGAAGTCTACCATCCTGTCCTACTGGCATGAATCTGTTTCAGCAAGTAACAGCAGATAGAGAGAACAATAAAAACTGGCTGAAGGGGAAAACCTGAAGTCCTGTTATTCACTGATCCAGACATTATTGATCCAGTAGATCATCTCCAGAAAAGTGAAGGAAAGGTGATGGGAATTTACGGATAGCAAATGACAGTACTAATTAACATAAAGGAAACACTTTTTATTCATGAGCAGGATTTGTTTCCCTTTGAAATTTGCAAACAGGATGAAGCTAGTTCTCCTACCTCTTTTTCAAGAAAAAAAAAAAAAAAAAAAAGAAAAGAAGTCAACATGAAAGCAAGACTGTCTTGCTACAATAGCAGTTCTGGCAGGTCAGTGGAAGTGAGTGAAGCTCCAATTTAAGCCTCCCATAACCAACATGCAGTTGGTAGTTGTTGAGATTTGAGTATGGCTCTGTACCTTGGCAGCAGTGGCAACACTGAACTGCCCATGGAAGAATGAGGACAGACTGACTGAAGGCAGTGTGAGGCTGAAAAGCTGTGGAGGACCTCTTGGTGTGTCTAGACACACTGGAGGACTGCAGATTGCAACTGGTGTTATGATGGAGCTGTGTCCCGATCCAATGTCAGGGAGGGTTCTTAAACGATCCCAAGAGCAAGATTAAGACACAAACAAGGTCAGATGCCGTACAACCTTGTGAACTTTATTAAACAAGCGACTGATAGCAGCGATAGGACAGGGAGAAAAAGGAAGGGAAAGTCAGAATCCCTAAGCTAGAAAACGATAGAGATGCAGCAACACTAAGTACCACCACCACGAATCCAGCGATGTTCTGCTGGCTTGGTCTCGGTGCCGGTGATGGTGTTCCAAGCTCCAAGCTCCGCCGAAGTCCCCGCTCCGAGGAGACCCGAGCCCCCTTTGACGCAGTCCTTCTCAGTCCTCACGATTTCTCGGAAAAGACAAACAGAGTCCAACACAGTCCCTTACAAGGTGCTCATTCTCCAGCAATAGCTGTTGTGCCACTGAAGAGTTGAGGAATCTGGAGGAACAGGCTTGAGAGGTGGGCCCATGCAAACCTCATGAAGTTCAACAAGTCCAAGTGCAAGGTCCTGCATATGGGTAGAAGCAATCCCAAGCACAAATATGGGCTGGGCAAAAAATGGATTGAGAGCTGCCCTGCGGAGAAGGACTTGGGGGTATTGGTTGACAAGAAGCTCAATGTGACCTGGCAATGTGCACTCACAGCCCAGAAACCAACCGTATCCTGGGCTGCATCAAGAGAATTGTGGCTGGCAGGTTGAGGGAGGTGATTCTTCCCCCCTACGCCGTTCTTATGAGACCCCACCTGGAGTACTGCATCCAGTTCTGGGGCCCCCAACATAAAAAGGATATGAACGTGTTAGAATGAGTCCAGAAGAGGGCTGCAAAGATGACCAGGGGGCTGGAGCACCTACCCTGTGAAGACAGGGTGTGAGAGTTGGGGTTGTTCAGCCTGGAGAAGAGAAGGATCTGGGGAGAACTTAGAGCAGCCTTCCAATGCTTAAAGGGGCTACAGGAAAGGTGGGGACAGACATTTTACAAGGGCATGTAATTATAGGATAAGGGGTAACGGTTTTAAACTGAAAGAAGGTAGATTTAGACTGAATGTAAGGAAGAAATTCTTTCCTGTGAGGGTGGTGAGGCACTGGCACAGGGTGCCCAGAGAAGCTGTGGCTGCCCCCTCCCTGGAAGGGTTCAAGGCCAGGCTGGACGGGGCTTTGAGCAACCTGGGCTGGTGGAAGGTGTCCTTGCCCGTGGCAGGGGGGTTGGAACTAGATGATCTTTATGGTCTCTTCCAACCGAAACCATTCTATGAATCTATCAATATGGGAATTGGCAGCTTGGTCCCAATCTCTCCTGGTGTTACTATGAGGGAGCAGCCATCTGCCCTGCCAATGGGTCACCTCAGGCAGCTGCCAACTTTTCCTGATGTTAAGGCTAACCTTATATTCAACTTGGTGCAGTAGCTTTGCTTGAGGTGCTTTAGGCAATATTGGAGACCAAGAATTAAAGATCCTTTAGTGGATCTTTTAATGAATCTTAAGTCACCAGGCTCCCTAACCCGTTTAAACTCACAAGAGCTCATAGCTGTCTCTGAGAAGGATGCAGCACGGTTATACTAACTCAGCTTTCCCCCTGCTTGACAAGTCACGCCGGTTTTGACCAGAAGAACCGAAGCCACCGAGCCCGCAGACATAAAAGCCTCCGCAGGCGCTGGTCAGCTGCGGGGCTTGGGCCGCCGGAGGGTGCCGGGATGGGCCGAGAACCGGGTTTGGGGGGCTGGGGAAGAAGGAAAACGGCGTGCCGGGCCCGGCGGCTCGGTGCCAAGTTTCTCTTCTGAGAGAAAGGAAAACGAAACCGAGCGCTTTCCCGCGCTGCGGCACGGCGGGGCGGGACCGCAGCGGCCGCGCTCTTAAGCGCGAAGCGCCGGGCGCCGGGCTGCAGCTTTGCGAGCCGAGGCGAACAGAGCCCGAGCGAGCCCAAGTGAACAGCAGCGCATCCCGCCGAGCAGAGCCGGGCCGGGCCGGGCCGAGCCCAGCCGAACCGAGCCCAACCGTATTGAGTCGAGCCCGAACAGAGCCCCGAGTGGGTCCAAGTGAACGGCAGCGTATCCCGTCGAGCCGAGCCGGGCCAGGCCAGGTCGAGCCCAGTCGAGCCGAGCCGAGCCGAACAGAGCCCAAGAGGGTCCAAGTGAACGGCAGCGCATCCCGCCGAGCCGAGCCCAGCCGAGCCCAGCCCAGCCGAGCCATGCCGCTGGCCCTGCTGGTGCGGCTGCCGCTGGCGGTGGCGCGGGCGGTGCTGGCGGCACTGGGCGGGCGGCTGGGCGCGCTGTGCTGGAGCCTGGCTCCCCTCTCCCTGCCCCTGCCCGGCTGGCGCCGGGTCTCGGCCCCCAGCCCGGCGGGACCCCGGCGGGAGCGGGACGGCGCGGCCCCGACGCCCACCAGCGTCAACTACCACTTCACCCGCCAGTGCAACTACAAGTGCGGCTTCTGCTTCCACACGGCCAAGACCTCCTTCGTGCTGCCCCTGGAGGAGGCCAAGCGGGGGCTGGCGATGCTCAAGGAGGCGGGTGAGTCCGGGGGGGGGGAACCTCCGGTGGGAGCCGTGGCGGGGGGATGCGCGGCGGCCGCCTCCCGGCAGGACCAAGTGGCGTCGAAGAAGTTCTGGCGGGGGGTGTCCCTCTTCATCTCGCTGCAGCCGGGCGGAGACAGCGTGCGGAAGGAGCGGGGAGTAGGCAGGCAGAGGTTCGCAGCATCTTTCCCTTGTCCTTTTCTAGGAATGGAGAAAATAAACTTCTCCGGAGGAGAACCCTTTCTTCAGGACAGAGGCGAATTTGTAGGCAAACTGGTCCAGTTTTGCAAGCAGGAGTTGAAGCTACCAAGTGTCAGCATCGTTAGCAACGGCAGCCTGATTAGAGAACGGTGGTTCAAGAAGTATGGTAAGGGAAAAACACTGTGCACAGAAGCACTGGTGGGTTTGGGAGCCTCCTCGGGGCAGCCTCACCAAAAGATGGGTTTTGGTGCAAGCTGGAGATGGCTTGTTAGGGATTCATTTACAGTAAACACAAACCAAATGTAAACACCCGTGAAATATTGTTAATTATATGTTGTGAACATAGGCACTTTGTACTATTGCCTCTTTGATATAATAGTACAATAAAGTAATAGCTCAGACTTAATGCTGGGGACACACACGCACAAAACAGGTCTTTGGATGCTGCTGTGGATTTTGTAGTTTATGTGGTAACTCCAGAGAACTATTTTTACATGGCGGTTTGTGGCAGATCACAAGGAAGTGAAAGTGGGCAGGGTCCTGACAGCTTTTAACTGAGGGACTGAATAGTAATCAATTTTTAAAACTTGTTTTCAGGTGAATATTTAGACATTCTAGCCATTTCATGTGATAGTTTTGATGAGGATGTCAACGTTTTAATTGGCCGTGGTCAAGGAAAGAAGAACCATGTGGAAAATCTGCATAAACTGAGACAGTGGTGCCGAGACTATGCTGTTGCTTTTAAAATAAATTCAGTGATCAACAGATTTAATGTTGAGGAAGATATGAATGAGCAGATCAAGGCACTCAACCCCGTGCGCTGGAAGGTAAGAGAATAGTGTATGCCACTGTTTTCCTGTTCAGAGAAAAGGAATAGTCTGAACAAAGTGAAGTCCTGGAGTTGTCTGAACTTCTAATGACTTCAGTCAGATCTCCAGCTCCAGCTTGGGCTGATGTTAGCAGACTTCTTGTCAGTGTTAGGTGGTGTTGAGACAGGTTCTGTCTCTTCCTGCACTTAAATGGAACCCAACATGTCAAGAATCTTTTTTGTTGTGGTATTTACAGGAAATTACTATTTTAGCATAATTAGATCTAGTTTTTTTATGATATTAAAAATAAGACAGGAGGTCTTTAACATTTGAAAATGTGTCATGGTGTAGAGAAAATGAGGAAAAGTTAGTGTATAATGATACATTAGAGTTATATCATTAGCAATATATAAGTGTACATTAGACATTCATGTTCTGTATAGAATATTAGTGGTTAGTGTGCATATATTATGATATTTTCTACTAGAAATGTATTAAATACATTGTGTTATCAGTTTGAAAATGGATAGAGATAATGTAACCTATAGATATGGGAGAACTAATGGAATAATTTCTCATTATTTGCTTCATGGAAATTGGTATATACATGTGATTTTCCGGAAAAAAAAGAATAATCACTACAAGTGAAATCTTGGTGATACAAAAGGAATGTGAAGAAAATATGACATACATTTTAATATTTTATCTAGCTTCCTGGCCTACTTTCTTAATGGGGTTATGGAGCATATTGATGGCAAAGGCATATTTTTTCCCCCAAAGTCTATTCCGAATATATTTGAAGACTTGACCTTTAGAAGGAGTCTGTTAAATAGACAAACTATTACATTTTGTTTCTAGGGAGTCATCCTTATCTTTTCTGTGTCCATCTGAAGCTAGTAAAACATACAGTCACAAATCAGGTTAAAATCTTTAAGAATAAAGATTGAGTTGATAGGCTGCATTGTACATGGCACTTACTGGCATTTATAATATAGCCATACTATTTGAGGCTCAATCAGAAGTTTATTTGAACTTTGATTATCTGTGCCCTTATTAAGATCAGAGCAGTTAAGATTTCTGTGGAAACCTGATCAGGAACCATGACTGTATAATTACATTTAGAACTATGTAATGTTAATTTGATAAATATAAATCTGCACCATGCCCTTCATGTGGTATTTACTTATCACAATTTGTGTCAGTGTGGCTCCACTGACAGAAAAATAAAAGACGTTGCTACTGAGACAACTGAAGGTTTTTGTCATGGTGTCAATCTCTTATGCTCAAGGCAAGTGAAAACATAAAATCTTAACCAGGTGCCTTACATCTTCAGGTATTCCAGTGCCTGCTCATTGAAGGGGAGAACACTGGTGAGGATGCTCTGAGAGAAGCAGAGAAATTTGTTATCAGCGATGCAGACTTCGAACAATTCCTGGATCGCCACAAAGATGTCCCCTGTTTGGTACCTGAATCCAATCAGAAGGTAAAACTGAAACTGTCTTTTTGTAACCTTATTTTCAAATAAAGTTGGAAAGATGGAAAGGAACTAGAAGCTTTCATGGCAATTAACACTTTCTCTATTAGTATTGGCTTAGGAAAGGTATGGTACAACTTTGTCAGTAACTGGTTTTGTTATGGTAGAAGCCAAGGTTCTTAATTTTCTTTAAGGTTTTTTATTGAGCACGGATTTATTAATAGGGGAGTGAAAACTCATTGATCCCAGTCCTGTGGAAACCAGCAGGAGTCCTCTCACAGCGTCATGTGGACCTCTGCTCAGAGAGATGGATCTATAAAGTATCAGCATGGGAACTGGAGAAACTGAGTTTTCCACAGCTGAATGGTGAACTCTAAACCATAATTAGGCCCTTTAGAACTGAATAGCTCTTCCCCACCAGGGCACAAGATCCTGAAAATGTTGAATGTTAATGTAAACACACTTTATACTCTAAGCGTAGTTTCCTAATAGAGATTCACTATGATGTTGTGCTATGGCAGTGTCATCGACCTACATGAAGTAAGATATCATCCCAGTCAGGATTATGTTGGGTTTTGAGGAACAAGAACTAGTATTTTTGCCTGACACATCTTACTGGGTACTGCCTCCCACAATAAAGTTGCAATTTTATCATTGCCTAACTGAACTCCCTTGGACTGAACGTTTGGGCTCTTCATTCACAAGAAGACTCCTTCTGCTACTGCAGAGCCCAGCAGTTAACTTGATGAGCTGCCATCCAGTTTGCGTTAATTCCAGTAAAGGACTGTAGTGCCTAAGTTTGGAGCTCAGGACATTTTGTAAGATGCCTACAGGATCTATACACTGGCATGAGGAAAGTCTGAAGACTCACTGTTATGAAAGTTTATGACCTGAATGAGGATATATTGATTTCAGGAATGCCTTACATCTCCCATCTCATGTTCCTTTTCCTCTCCACAGATTAAGACTCTCCATTTACAGTTTACTTGTTGGTGTATCTAGAGCTCAAGTGAGCAGGGTGGGTTGCCTTTACTATGCAAGACATAGAGGTGGGACTGTGCAGTCTAGCGTTTAAGTCATTTGGTGTAAGAAAGCACTCATCAGAGAAGGTGTATTAGATGAGAACTCAGAACTGTTTCAACATGTTTTTCCATGCAAGAAGTCCTACAAAAAAAAGAGTAGACTTCCCTCAATAGGTTTGGTTCTAGAAGATTGTTTCTGATTTCTGTTAAACCTGTGTGGAAGGTGGACACCAAATTGATCAGATTTCCTGTTCTACACAGCAGCAAGCTCCAGCTACCCAGAGAATTTTAGGGAGGATCGTGTAGGAGATGCCCAGTTAGCTGAGCAAACACATCTTATTTCAGCAGTTGGACTATTTCTTGGTGCAGACCTGAGAGCTTTTTGAGCTAGAAGATTACCTTTGAGCTGGGAGAACATCTTTGTCTGCTGGGGTGTTAATTAAACACCCCATCTTAAATGGTCATGTAATTTGTTTGGAAAATGACATAATGATAGAGTCATAGAATGGTTTGGGTTGGAAGGGTCCTTAAAAATCATTCCAGTATGCAAAACAGTGTAAGATCTGCAGGTGTGGAAGTTAATAGAAAACTTGCATATTATTTAAAACACCTTTATCCAGTTGGGCACCCACATTTTAGTTAGACACTTGAGTGGTCATATTCCAAGAATTACTGATCTATTTGTGCATTAAGTCATGCTAGTAATCCTGTCGTTTATTTCTATAAATTTGATCCAAGCTCACTGAAATAGTGGCAAGACACTACATGTTTCAAAGATTTGGATCAGGCTTTGAATGAATAGTTGTTTGTTTCATCCTTGATTTTTTACTAGAATGGAATTTGGTTTGCATATTAATTTAGTTTTTTCTTTTGATCTATTACAGATGAGGGATTCCTACCTCATTCTGGATGAATATGTAAGTCTTTGTTTGATACTTAGTATTTGTATGCTAATATATGTATGTATACAACAGTGATAACTGGGCATTCTATACAATAATTTTACCATGTAGTACAAGGAATAGATGTAATTTCTTCCCATCAAACACATTGAGAACTTGAATAGAACTATGACCTAAGGAGAAGTTGCCATCAGGTTGCATGTATAATCATTGCATCGTGAATCTTAAAGTGTAGATGTGTATGTTTGCAGGACAGCTTTGCTGTTTTTCTTTAATTTAAAAATACAGAACTTGTCTTGAATGTTAAGTTTCAAAGAGCCTACTTAGTTTACATGTAACTGAAGAGCAAACAGTCTTCGGGAATTATGGTATGGCTTTGTTCCTGCTAAGATGTGTCAATGTGTCTAACTGTGAGCTTCTGAGCCTTCTAAGGACTACAGGAAAACTGTTGATGCACTTACATTGGCTTTTGTGGGATTGCAGTGCAATTTGTTTGATTCTGTAGAAAAATTAAGCTTTTACAAACTGACTTTCTAATGTCTTATCTATTGATGTTCCAGATGCGTTTTCTAAACTGCAGAAATGGACGGAAAGAGCCTTCCAAGTCTATCCTAGACGTTGGCATAGAAGCAGCTATACAGTTCAGTGGATTTGATGAGAAGATGTTCCTAAAAAGAGGAGGAAAGTATGTGTGGAGTAAAGCAGACATGAAACTGGACTGGTAACTCAATATACTGAGCTAGGGCAGGTGCATTATGTAAAGAAAATGGGTGTGTATATATGTATCTAATGCTTTTAACTACACTTGATGTATTATACAAACTGATGTTCAGTATAACTCTATATGTGAATGTGTTACATGTCCATTGTATGAAAGACTTAAGGGCAAACCATTAATATAATGCCACATAGGAAAAGTTTTTAAGTTAATACGTAAGTGTGCATGCCAGAAGACAAACCAAAACCCACCCCAGTCTTTAATTCGTTATAAACAGCTGTAATGATGTGTAAGTGGAAAAACTCTTACCAGTGAACGTATTCTGCCTCTTTGCTATGGAAAGGTAGATTGCAGTTCCTTACTAGATCACAAGAGGGCCAGCTGGCAGTCCTTTGGAAGCAGCCCTCGCCTTTTTCAGGGGTAATAGAGGGTCAGAATCTAGGAATCATTATCTGCAATAGCATATTTAAAAGGAAATCAAGATGAAAAATTTGGCAATTTTCATTCTTTAAGACTTAACTGTAAAAGCATCTGTTGTTCTACTCCCTCTCCTCCATATACACAAATGATATTTGCAAAAATGTTGGGGATGTAATTTTCTGTGAAAATGTTTTTAGTATGAAAGAATATTATATTTCTCCTAAAACATAAAAGTGCATTTTACCCAATGACAGGCAACTTCTTATTTCATATTGGCAATGGCTCTTTAGTTCTAACAAATATTTACAGTGAAAACAATGTTTGCATTTTACTAATAACTTCCTCCATTTTCCTTTTATCTGTGAATATAGATTTATTAATTTTACCATGTTTTTCTCTCCCCATGCATACAGTTCTGATTAAGATTCCTTCTGAAATTAATTAATACTATGTGTCATACTTAACATTTATCTTCTGTTTCATTCCGGCTGTGTTATTCGCATGCTTTTTCTTTTGCTAAGCCACGGAATTACAAACAACAAAGTTCATATACCTTGTAACCTTGTTTTAAAGGTTGCTTGGCTTAGTAATCATTCTTGCTTGCTGGTTACAAATGTGCAGGTATTAAGTGAAACTACTAATTGAGGTTTGTGATAGCTGTCTCTGATTTTAAGAGCTAGCAGCATCAACAAAAAATAGAGAAAAGTCAAAAATCCCTGGAAAAACAATGATCTAATATGCTGCCCTTGTTCTTCGTTTTCTGGCAATTGTTACAGCTTTATAATTGCAGTTTTCCAAATTTAACTAGTCCCATCCCCTCCAACCCCACAAATCTCTGTATGAAGGGCACGGGGTCAAGCATTGTACAAAGCAAAAGAGAGTTGACACTACTCATCCATCCTGTCCATTGAACTCAATGCCTGGACTGTCTCACACACTTAAATATTTGCAGCAGTTGGGAGCCAGCATGCATGAAATGTATGATGTAGGGAAAATTACACCTTCTCTCATTTTTCTGATAGTGCTAGTTGATTTTTTTTAAAGAGGTTTTGGAGAGAAATGTTTTGCCTAACGCATCTTCAAAGTTGAAGGGGAAAGCCCTTAAGTAGGAGCTGCTATTTCTGAATAAAGGAAGGTGCATTTCCAAATACACTGTGAAAATGTTTCCATTTATAATTACTTTGGTTTCTATTTTTACTGTTCTAACTGTAAGTATACTGTCTCAGTGGTGCTCTTTTGTTTCTTTGCATTTCGCAATCACAACACTTCCTAGACACTTTTCAGTATTTTTTTTTTCTTGTATTAATACTAAGTGACATTTAAAATGTGGCCCACACACATTAACCCCACAGTCTTTTGGCAGCTGTTTCGCTGACCTCAGTTGGAGTTCTGCCTGAGTAGCAACTATGGGCAGCGCAAATTTATGTAACTGTGGGGTTTGACTTCCTCTGCCTTCCCATTGCTCAAATGTTAAATCTAGCCTCTTCCTCAGCATCTACGCTGCATGATAGAAGAAAAGACTTTTCCTTTGCTGCTGGCTCACTCCCAGCATGGGGAAAGATTTAGTGCATCAGTGTACCAGTAAATCTACTAGCTTGCTGCTTCTGCAGAAAATGCCAGCTGTATCACAGCACGCAGATGTGAGGTACACAAACTCCCATTCAGATCCAGAAATCCTGCCATTCTTGGCTTTGCATTTTACTCTGTAAATGGCTATTCTTTTCCTGCAAGAGATCCTCTGTGCCTATGGAGGAAGCCGCAGGATAAACAAACTGCAGCTGAAAATGTGAAAATCCAGTAAATAATGTAAAGACATTGAAGACAGCTTCATCAGAAGGTTCTAAGTTCTTCTTAAAATCTCAAGGATTTTACATTGCCTCTTGCCACCATACATAACTAAGAAGAAGTTTCTGCTCTGTGTGATACTCCTTTGCAAAGGAAATGCCAGTTGCGTACATTAGAAATTAAGAACTTGATACAACACAGTTTGACAGACAATCAGTGAAGTTAATGAATGGCTATTGGTATTTTTATATGCAGGAGTCAATGTTTGTGTAAAATCTCAAAAATTTTTTTCGCTACAGCCTGCTTTCTTTCTTTTTTTTTTTTTAGTCTGTAAACACAGTTCACATCAGACCGAAACCGGACCTTAGGCTTTCATTCTGTAGTTGGGCCTGACTTTCAGCATGGGACTAGAAAAAATAATACTGAATTCAGTAGGGCTACTCTCAGGCTTAGAGATTACATGTACATTGTGACCCTGAAGAGTCAGGATTTAAATTTAAGTCCTGTAAACACAGATATGCTTAATTGTATTTTCATGTGTAATCTCACAGTACTGCAGCTAAGCACTTGCTAAAGATGTTGGATTGGGAAGGAATTTACACTGTAGTTTTCTAGCATTATGCAGCTGTTCCTATTTGTGAAATTTGTAGATAATGAGCCTTTGGGAGAACGACTTCAGTTAAAATTATGAATATACCTTGGGTAGTGAGTAAAACTGTCATTTAAGATGCATTTTAAGATGCCCTCTTTTTCAGTGTGAAGGATGCTGACATATTTGAATGTTACAAATGATGAATTTTTAAATGATACCGTCACACAGTTAGTGCTAAGTGTTTTACATGAGTATGTTGCACATTTCAATAAACGTTTATATTTTCTTAATTTTGCCTGTAATTTCCTTTTTTTTTTTTTTTTTTTTAATTATGATTTTTAAAATATAATCCAAAACCATACTAGCAGAATGTGTGACTGCATTCACAAGAGATCTATAATTCTGGATGCAGGCTGTATTTAGCACAGGGGGGCTGCTTGCACAGTGCCAAGGGCAGCATCTAGGCTGAAAGAGAGAACAATAGTGGTGATTCTCCTTGTGATGAAAAGCATTTGTTATGAGCTTGAGTGGACTGGGCTGTGCTGGGAGAAGACAGTTAAAATACCTTGTGCTGGTCAGATGACAGCCGTTACAAAAGACATAACTACCAGTAAGTATCTCAGGAGAAAAAAAAAATATATATATTCTGTTATAGTAAATAAGAGAGAAATGCTAGTCAATTCAGAGTAAAGACAAGCTCATCTCCTGTCTTCAGGCTGCAGTATAAACTGTCATATACCAGACAACCTGAAATGGAGTTTTCCACAGTAATTGGTGCGTGTGTGGGGGGAAGGCTTTGCATCTCCCCCCCCCCGCCTTTCCCAGTTTTTTTCCTGCATATTCTAGTGGAGCAAAGGTGCCCAGGAGCAGAGCTGCACCAAGATGCTTCACGCCTCCCCCTGTCCCTGCCCCAGGACCTCTGCGAGGTGCCCCCCAGGCCCCGGGTGTTGTGTCACCCCCGCAGGAGCTCGGGCAAGGCTGTAAGCTGCGTTTTAGTAAATCAACCAGGCAGCTCCTATTCATCTCTCCAGCTCCTTGTTTTTCCTTTTTTTGTCTCCGCGCGTTACGGAAGAAAGCCGGCCGTTGCCCCGCACATAAACCAGCAACAGGAAAGCAGCTGTTTTTGCTCGACAGCGCGTGCAAAACACCCATGCCCACCGTTGGCTTCCTTGCGTTTCCCTTCTCCCTTTCCTCGCAAGCAAGGCAAACCCTCCCGCCCTCCTTTGTAAAACCAAGCCCCGTGCGTTGTTTTCCTCCTGCCGCGGAACGACCTGCTGGGCCGGGGGGGCGCCACGCCAGGGCCGCCTGAGATGCGATTCCTTAGAATAAATTTTTAAGATAGATGGGAAAACCGGCTGTGCGGCTCGGCTCGGCTCGGTTCGGCTCGGCTCGGCTCGGCTCGGCACGCCCGGGGGAGGCGGCCGCCCCCGCCCGCGCCCGCGCAAGGAGCGCGCCGGGCGCTGCCGACCGGGGAACCCCGGGATCCCCGCGCGGGGAGGCGCCGCCCGCCGCCGCCAGGGGGCGCCGCTGTGCCCGGCGCGGCGGGAGCGGGGCGGCCGCTTCAAAGCGCGCGGCGGTTAATGGCGCCCTCCCGCCCCCGCCCCGCCCCGCCCCACCCTCCTCCTCCCCACCCGCCTCCGCCGCCGCCGCCGCCGCCGCCGCCGCCACCGGAGAAAAGCCCGGGAGCGGCTCCGGCCGCGCACGCTCTGGCTCCGCGGCTGACGGCGCTGCGGGGGGTGGAGACCATGCTTGGGGCGGCGGCGCCCGCGCCCTGCCGCGGCTCCGCGGGATAGCGCGGGTCGCCCCCGGTGCCGGCAGAGGCTGGAGCGGCGGGGTAAGGCGTCCCGGTCACCGAGCGCGCGCGCGCGTGTGTGGTTTTGGGGGTGTCCCCGCTCCCCGCCGCGGCGGTGGGGCCGGGCCGGCGCGAGGCACCCGCGTCCCCCCCCCCCTTACGTAAGGGGCCTCCTCGGACGGGGCGCGCTGAGGGCGGGCGCAACGTCACGGCTGCCCCCCTGCGCCCCCGGGGGGTGTGTGGGGGGTGTATGGGGGTGCCCCGGGCACCCAGCGCCCCCCGCCGCGGTGGGTCCCCTCTGCGGCGGGGGGGGGTGTGGGGTGGGGGTGCTGGGGAGGGGCTCGGTTCGGGAGCGGGCACGGCGGATCCCAGGCTGCCCCCCAGGAAGGGGGCGCGGCTGCCCGCGGGCGTTGGCGGGCGCGGAACGGCGAAGGGGTACTGGCGGCTCGCGTGCCTTCCGTGCTGCGATTTTTTCCAAAAACGAGCCGAGGCTGGTGCTTCAGGCAGTGTAGCGCCCTGGAGCGCGATAGCCACCCCTCCGGGGGGTGAAAAGAGTAAATAAAGGGGTGTGTGGATCGACATCCACAGCCAGTGTTCGCAGGTGTGAGTGAAGTGTGCCGCGTGGGGAGAAATTGGTTTGTTTGGGTTGCGGGGTGGAAAAAGTAGTAGGACTCGGGGTTTTCGTGATTGTATTTTTTTTTTTTTTTTTTTTTTTTTAATTCCCTCACTATGCTGAAGAGATGCTACCACTGACTTTTTTGAGGTGTTGGAAGAAACCATATGTATGACAATGAGGTTGCCCCACCCCCCCATACACACACCCCCTCTGGATCTCCAATGTCCTTTTGAATCAAGGGCATCTTGTCCTGAAAAATGAGGCCCTGTATCACTCTGTTTTTATTTCTTCTATAGAACTGGGAGTGTCAATAGGGCAGGCTGGTGGAAGAAGATACAAGCTGTTTGAATTTCTACTGTATTCTTGGAAATACTGGCATTTCTGCCCTGGAACATATTATTCTTTGTCCTACAACAAGCATCAATGATGATTTATAAATAGATCCATTTGTTTATATTGTTCCCCGTGTAGCCAAACAACTGCTTACATTGTGAAATGGATTGCTTCATTTCATGTTAGTTTATCAGGGCTGACCCAGGAGTGGCTACAGCTGAAGTTACAATGTTCTTGGGCAGAGTGCTACCGGAGAGATTACATCAGTAGTTCAAACTCCTGGTCGCTGGCTTCTCTGTTTGCTTGTGCGTGTTTCTCTTACAGTCTTGGGATGTACTGGGGGCGTGCGTGGGGAGCTGTGGTGCGCTGAGGGGCAGATCTGTGCTTTTAAGGGAACTGCTCTGTTTATACTTCAGTGGGACTTTACAGTGTGGGAGAATTTAAATGACTGTCTCCTAGTAATGTTAGGGCATCAAACTGACCTGACTTGAAGTTTGTTAAATACCCAACAGAAGCAAGATCAAGTGAGAAAAGAAGGTGGTGGTGGTGGTAGGGAAAATCTTTGCCCTTCCTTGGGAATTACTTGACAGGATTTTTTTTTTTTTCTCCCCCACCCTCCAGGATGAAGTTTTATTCCTTTACCCCTCCTTTCCCTGGCCATCAAGTCTCATTATCCTCTTGTGCAATCTGTATATTGTTCATGAGGGGGACAAAACATCTGTTATTGAAATACCAGTACAGTGACGGATGTTTCAATCTAACTACTTCAAATGAGCCATCCTTTAGATAAAACAAAGGGTTGATTTCCCTTACTTTCTAAATCGCCCTGATTCCTATTATAGGAGCTGCCAGATCAAATCATGTGTTTATCGTCTATAAACAGTTATTGCAGATTTTTGTCCTTGAAGCATAGTATTATAAGTTAGCTTCACTTACAATCTGGCTTTTGCATTTCAGTATTTTAAGGCAATATTTTTTTTGGAAAAAAAAAAAAAAAAAAGACTAAGTATTTGCTTAACTGCTTTTGTTTCTAACACTTTTTCCAGTAGTACATTCCAAGTCTTTGTCACATTTTCTGTGGTAGTTTCTTTGTGGGTTTGGTGTGTGTGGGTTTTTTTTTTTTTTTTTAGTAACTTCTGACAAATTTCCTTTCAGTTAAGCCAAAGGACAACGCTGCTGTCTTAACCATGAGTTTTGGCTGCAGTGCCATACCAGGGGTATGAATGGCTTCAGTGTACCTGCTGTATTTACAAGAATGCTCTCATAGGCTGGCAGAAAACTGTTGTTTGCCCTCCCAGTGCTGATTCAGGGAAAGATAACAACTCTGATCATCCTGCAGCTTGATCTGTGTACGTAGACCTTTTCTTTCCTAGAGACCTGATGTAGCAGGGGAATCAGAACCTGTTATATTTCTCACTGTGTGTCCTGTGAAGTAGTATTAATAGTAAGGCAGTCGAGTTAGTCAATGGTTTGATTAGGAAATGCACTTTTAACTGTATTGTGTTTTGTATCTTGAGTTACAAAAAGGAAATGGAAAACAGTTACAAACCAACCCCCCACTCATTTTGAATGGTTTAGCAATTCTGGTGTGCCGAACTTAGGCTGTGGTCAGCTGTTCTTTTTATATGACAGGATTCTTTTCTATTCAGCTTTGCAGAAGTGAGCTCATAATATTAATTCTTCCCTGACTTTTTGAAGAAGATCAGACAAAAGGTCATAATGATGATTTTATTTTTTCACTTCTGATGGCTGGGAGGAACTGTTGAAAATACACTCTTTCCTTTGGCTGCCTTCTGCAAAGTGATGGAAATGATTTTTCTATTTCATAGTAAAATCGGATCGGAAATGCTTACAGTTTTTCTGCATATGCAGTCAATGAATACTGGAGCTGGCAGTGCTAGTACAAAATGGGTTTTCAGATAGCTTGATTGTTTGCTGAAGGTGCCATTTAGAGTGGTGACACCATAAGTGTCCTTTCTCAAAAAGGAAAAATGAGGAACAGAGAAAGTGAAGCAATGTATCTGGTAGTTTTATTTACTGTGAGGGAAAAAAAAATCTCATCAGATGATTCTAGTCTCATCAAGACAATGTTATTTCTTTCTTATAACATCATTTCCATCTTTTCATTCGACGACTAGCAAGTGGTAGCTTGTCGCATTAAAATACTTTGCTGTTATCCTCTAGGTACCATTATGATAGTTTAATGCAACTGCATCCTGTTTGTATTGAATGGAAATGACTTATGATTGAAGAAATGGACTAAAGTTTACTTAATATAACCTTTTTCTACTGTATGATATCCAAAGGATCATCTGAAATATTTGGGAGTGAAGATGGGTCTTGCAAGTTGTCTAGAAAATAACAGCTTATCAGGTTCAGGCATTATTTTCTTCACTACATACAAATGCTCAAAGTTGTTCACACTGATCACTGCTTTGCTTGTGACCAGCTAGGTTCCCAAGTTTTGGAGTCTTTATATCTACTTTTGCCTTTGACTTGGAAATT